TATACACTATCAACGTTATTAATAATATTAAATAACAGGATCAACTATTTGCGTAAATTTCTATTAGGACTCTTGTGAGATACACCTTCACTGTATCTAAATTAGTGTACACCGTAAGTCCTATAGCTATAACCAGAGTTTCCTGGAGGGAGAGCGAGAATTTGTGTATAGATCTATACTGGGTTGACACCCCACACCTGAGTTGATCGCTACAGCTAAACAGGCCAGTCTAGGGTGACAAATGTCTTCTCAGAAACCGACGCCTGAAGAACGTCAAGATAGGTACTCCGTTATATCAGTATGGTTATAATAACTCACATAGAGAATAACAATATTATTTAAAATTTACGCTGGACATACACACTCAATTTCGTAACCATTTATGTGTTAAATACTTTTGTAACAATTTCACTACTCAGGTCTTAGGGTTTTAAGACCACAACTTTTTGTATAACAGAAAATATAGGATTTTCTGGGGAACGCTCTTTATAAGATCTCAAGCAAGGATAAACAAGAAACTCACATGCAATAATACATGATTTGAAACAAAACTCACAAACTATTTTTACAGAAAATATTGGATTTTATGGAGTTTACTAACTGATACAAAGTTTTCATATAAACATGCTTATGAACTCATCAACATCCTATGTTGATGCTTTTCAAAAATAACTTGTATTCTCAAGAATACAGTGAGCAGGTTATTTACATCTATGGACGTTTGGAAGATTTTTGTATTTTGATTTCATCATACATTTGTTTGTTTTTAGGATGTAAACTTTATAATATTGTAAACCATGTATGTTGTTATCTTTAATGTATGATGATGATGGTGGCTATCTTTCATTTTATATACACTTGTTATGATATTACAAAATGAGTCACCTGACCTCTCGGACGTTTCCGCCGTTCTGGTTTGGGGGTGTGACAAATTGGGTATTTAGGGCCATGCGTTGAGCACGTGTTTGGGCCTGAAAGTTGCGCTCAAGTGTTTTCCAGGACTGGTGGGAGGTAGTAGCCCTAGAGACGGTAGCAAGGGATTTATCAGTGAGAGTGGACTTCATCAATAGAAGGAGGAACCGATCCTTTTTCTTCCAAGTGGTGAATTCAGAATTGGGAACAGGAGCAGCGTTTAAGGGCAGATCTCCTTCAGTATCAGTAGTGGGTGCGATTGTTGCAGGTGGTGGTGAAGGGTTGAGAATGAACGAGTCCAATTCAAAGCATTCAAGAGTGGAAATGATGTTTGTACGCCAGAGAGAATAATTTTCGTGATCAAGCTTGTTGCTAACAGGGGGAATGTGAAAATTAAGGTGGTAGAGGCAATTTGGGCGGCGGAAAGAAGTTGTGCAGGAGTGGCCATGGTGGAATTGCTCACGTAAAGAAAGGGGGGAAAATTGATATGTGACCTTAAAGCTCTGATACCATATTAAGGTATGAAGTAATATGATTGAAGTAATTTCTCTGTATTCATTCAGAGTGGTGTACATGAGTTTATATACAGAACTAGAGAACCCTAACTCCACATACATAGGAGATGTGAAACACGTGAGAATAATAGCCTAAAGAATAGGACTAATCGACTAAGTTACAAGACTAAATCAAAACTAATATAATTATATATGATTCTAAATATTTCTGTTATTATGGCCCAAGACCTTTTAAATTCTTCAATTTATGGATGCAAGAAGAGGGTTTTGGCGAGTTAATCCAAATGAACTAGTGTAATTCAGAGATGGGAGAGGCTGATAGCGTAAGTATAAGGTTCAGTTTAAATTGAAGAGTTTGCAATCGGTTTTGAAACTTTGGTGGGGGAGGAAAAAGAAAAAAGAAGGGTTGTGAAAGATGTGTGTTTGAAACGTTTGCAATATGTAGACAAGATAAGTGATGAAGGAAATGCTTCTGATTTTATTATAAATGGAAGGAGTTCCATTTGAGATTAGATGTTTCAGATAGAGAAAAAAGGAATGATTGATATTTCTCAAAAAGCGAAAATAAAATGGAGTATAGAAGGTGACGAATATTCAAGATATTATCATGGTGTATTAAATAAAAGGAGAAGGCAGCTTACTGTGACACAGGTGTGAAATCGATAGTGAATAGATTTTGAATCCAGCTTCGATTGAAAAATAATTTCTTTTGCATTATAAGGAGAAGTTTTCGAAAACTATACTATTATTTCCACACATAGAAGCAATCGTTATAAGGAACATTCAAAGGCTATGGTAGCTGATCTCGAGATGTCATGTACCTTGGAGGAAATAAAAATTGTTGTTTGGGAGTGTGGAAGTGAGCAAACTGCTTTTGTGAAGAATCGTCAAATTCTTGATGGACCCTTTATGGTGAGAGAGGTCGTTGAGTGGTATCAAAAGAATAGAAAGAAGATGATGGTTTTAAAGATTGATTTTGCTAAAGCTTATGACTCGGTAAGTTGGAAGTATTTGGATAGAATTATGCAATTCATGCATTTTGGAGATAAATGGCGTTCGTGGATAAGATCTTGCTTGATTTCTGCTAGAGCTTCTATTTTGATTAATGGTAGTCCGTCAGAGGAATTCCAAATTGAAACAGGTCTTAGACGATGTGATCCTCTTTCTCCATTTCTTTTTATTTTCGTTATGGAAGGATTGCATGTCGCTACTGAGGATGCCATTGATGAGGGTGTGTTTAAAGGTGTCAAGATAGGGCAAAATGATTTCTCTCTTTCACATTTGTGTTATGCAGATGATGTTATCATTTTTGGTGAATGGGAGAAAGATAATTTGATTAATATGATGTATATTCTCCAGTGTTATTATCTTGTCTCGGGATTGAAGATTAATCTCCAAAATTGAGTCTTTATGGCATTGGAGCTCCTTGGGATAATGTTGTGGAGTTTGCTCGTATGGTTGGTTGCAAACCGCATAAATTGCCCTTTCATTGTTTGGGACTTCCGGTGAGACAAAATATAACTAGACTTTCCTCTTGGAAACCATAATAGAGAAGTTGAAAAAGAAATTGAATAGATGGAAGGTCAATACTCTCTCCATAGGTGGAAGGTGTATATTGATCAAATCAATATTGGGATCTTTAGGTACTTACTACTTATCATTGTTTTTTATGTCAGTTGAAGTTGCCAAATAGCTTGAATCTTTACATGATTATTTTTTCTAGGGTGGTAATGAGAACCATCATAAATTGTCTTGGGTAGTGTGGGGTCTGATTTTAGCTGCGAAATCTCAAGGAGGCCTTGATATAGGAAGTTAAACTTCCCTTAATTTTTCATTGTTGCAAAAGTGGAGATGGTGTTTTTTTAACATCGAAGATTCTTTATGGGTGAAAATCTTAAAAGCGATATATGGGGAGAAAGGTGGTCTCGGTTTGGAGCTGGATAGAAGGAAAGGAACGGGTTCTTAGGCTAGGATCATTTCTTCGAATTATATGCTTCACAAAAAAAAATATTTTGCATCCTTCGCTTCTGCAATGAAAACTAGAAAGTGGGAGGCATGTAAATTTATGGAAGGATATTTGGAATGGAGAATAACTTTTGTCTATTTACCTTCCTTAGCTTTTTCAGTTGGAGATGAACTGTGATTGTATGATTGCAGATAGAAAAAATGTAGACAACTGGAATTGGCATTGGGGGAGAGAAGTTAGGGGATGAGAAGAGAGTGCTCAATTGAAAATGTTAATGGATGTTATATCTGATGTTTCTTTATCAGATCGCAAGGATAGGTGGATTTGGAATATAGCTTCTGATGGGGAGTTTACTGCTGCCCCTACTCACCTTCCTCCTTCTGCTCTTGCTTACCAATCCATTAATTATTATGAAGCGTAATTCGACGGAAGCTATTCGAAAACTATCGAACTTGCTCCGAAGTTTATGGAGAACCTGTGGCTGGATTGAATCGTATGCCCTCAAGTTCTTCAAGTCCGGATTCATGGATAAGCCTTCAGCTAAGAGAAGGAGAAATGTTATAAGTCAAAGTCAACTTCGTTCACCACTACGTTCTTTCAGAACCGGAGAACTGCGAGGAGCCAACCCTAGTACGAGAGGACTGGGTTGGGCCAACCTATGGTGTACCGGTTGTTATGCCAATAGCAGCGTCGCGCAGCTAAGTTGGTATGGAAGAACTGCTGCGCCGCGGGAAATCGAAACAAGAAGACGAATTGACAAGAAAAATTCCCCTTGTATTGATACAAAAACTAGATGGAATCGGTTATTATCTGGAAAAGTTAATATTCATGTTTGGAGAATGCTTCTGGATAGACTCCCTCCGCCTACAAATCTTGATCATCGGGGAATAGATGTTCATTCCTTGTTTTGCCCTATTTGTTATTTAGAGGTGGAGCAGCAGGAACACTTATTCATTCGTTGTGAGGTGGCAGCTTAAACTTGGAATGTGGTTTTCAAATGGTTAGATATTACTTTTAATCGGTCGGATTATATTATAAATTTATTTGACCAAGTGGATTCTCTAAAGTGTAGCACAAATAAGAAGAATGTTATCGACGCGGTTGTTGCTACTTCGGCTTGGAACATATGGAGTTTCGTAATAACAAAGTTTTTGGAGATGGTAAGATGTGAAAAGATACAATTTTTTAATCTATCAGTGAGTTTTTGTTTCTTTGGGTTAGCAATAGATTTACTAATCATACTTTTAAATGGGTTGTTTGGATGCAATACCCGTTAAACATTTTATAATGTTTCCTTTTTTTCTTCCTCTAACTCCTTGCTAGAGTTTCGTTTTTAATATATATTGTTGGTTGTTTAAAAACAATTTGAGAGTTTTTTGTAAATTGAGCTTAAATATTAAGATTTTACTGGAGATTCCTATTTTTTGTTTTTATAACACTGCCTGTTATGGACACAAGGTTGGTAAATAAACATCACCGTTACTCCATAGGTGCATATATTATATAAATAACAAGATTTCTATATAAAACATACAATATTCTTATTACAAATTCTTATTACAAGAAGACAAGATAACTAGATATACATGGTATATCTTTATTCTTAGATACAAATTTCACTAGTAAATATGAACATATACCAACTTCATAAGCATGTTTTTGACTAGCCAATAGTAGGGGTACTTATGACAATCCCCTTTTTATTTACCCAAACATAAACCCTATCACATATGTATATCTGAATTATTATTGTTCCTTCTAGAATAGTTTCTGCATTAACCAGTTTGTTTTCTTTTTCTATTATGGTTACAGCATAGTCTCCATCCTCCCCGACCAACTCCGGCCATGATGTTTTACCTACAAATTAAAATACATGAAGATAAATTTGAATTTAAAAACTTGTTAAAAATATATTTATAAAGGACATCTATAAATATCCCAAATATGAAAGAATACCTTCCTCGACTTGTTCACATGTTGATGCCATCTCTTTGCTTGTCAGATATAATGTACTTATGTATTTGCTTTGTGAGTTTGTAGTATATTTGGTATTTTGGTTCAAGTTTTGATGGGTTATTTATAGGGCCGATGATTTTGGATATTTATTTAATATTCTTTTTAATTTTGTGGTTGCGGAATTTTGTGGGTAAGAATGATGTGTCACGAGTCAAAGATTTGCCTAACTTTTTGGACTGAAATACATGATGATTAACTTAGATTATTTTATAACCAACTAGAAAGGATGCACATGTTTCGTATGGATCAAGAGTGCATCTTGATAAACAATATTTGACCCTTTCATTCTCTTCGGAGGACTTTTCTGTTTTAGGAATGGATATATACCCATCTTTCTACCTGAAATTACAATAAAAACAAATGGTAGATAAAGCATTGATTTGAACTGTCAAAAGCAATAATAAAAATATTTATATGTCGACTGTTTCAAGTTTCAAGCTCTATTGTAAAAATCATATACTCCCCACTCACTAATGAACTTTAGTTATTAAAATCACATAAAAATAAAAAGTAGATTTATTTTCTTCACATTTTAGTTAAATAATGAAGATTTGACAAAAATTTACTTTTTCAGGCTATTAAAAATCAGCATTTAAATATGAAAAAGACCTCTACACATATCTTGGGATGCAAGTGCAATGACAGCAAATTCATAACCAAATTTTCATATCTCCAAAATTTACCCTCTTAAAAAAACATCAGTATAAACAGTGTGTGTTTGTGAAACAGAAAATATACTATTTATAAGGGTTATGCCAATTAAGTTGTAGAAAGTATTGTGGCTTACTCTAATTAATATTAGAGAAGGGACCAAAATTGCCAAGTAGTTGTAGAGAAGGGACCAAAATTGGCAAGTTGCAGAAAGTATTGTGGACATTCTCTAAAAAAAGGTATGCATATAACAAAGACCATTAGTCAAAAATATTTATAAAACATAAAAATATTAGAGGATATTTTTACCTGAATCATATGCCACACACACCACCAAGCTTACCTTGAGAAAATGGAAGCCATAATGTCTACAAATCTGTAAAAAAAAAAAAAAAAAAAAAAAAAACTAAAAATTTATTTCTAATTCCATGAAAAATTTATAAAGATATGGAAAAAAAATAAAGCAAAGAGGAAGATTACATTGCACATGGAAGTAAATATGGATCAATGAATTATTCTTTATCCTCTGTATCCCTATTGAAATCCAAAAAGAAAACTATATTACAATATTTATATCAAATTAAGAAATAACAATAAAAAAGGGTGAACATAACTTCTTTATCGAACTTTTTTTTTGTCATATGACATGATAATCCGTTATTGGGTTCAATCCCGGTCTGAGAAACCTCCAAAGTCGCCACCATGTATATATTGATAACATTGTCATATGATTATAATAAAGAGAAAATACAAGGGTTCTCAATGAAAAGCATAAAGACTATTAAGAAGAAAGTGGATATAAATACTAGTTAGACAAAACCCTAATGGGCTAAAGACTAAAGAGCTCATAAGCAAGTGGGCTAATATATAGGCTAACATCCCCCCTCAAACTCACAATTTCGCAGCAATAAGCATTGAGAGTTTGTCACATAAGAACCGAAACCGAGAAGCCGATAGAGCCTTCATAAAAATATCTGCAATCTGCAAGCTTGATGAAACAAACGGGGTTGGATATGGTCCCGAGCTGCAGGTGATGAAGGGTAAAATGACAATCAATCTCATTGTGCTTCGTCCGCTCATGAAAAACAGAATTCTTTGCAATTTTTATCTCACTTTTGTTATCACAATGCAAGGGAGTAGATGAAGAAATATGAAATCCCATATCCGCAAGCAGCCACCGTAACCAGATAATCTCACATGTAGTTACAGCCATAACACGATATTCAGCCTCCGTGGAAGATCTAGAGACAACGTCCTGTTTCTTTCTCTTCCACGAAATGAGAGACTCTCCAAGAAATACGCAAAATCCAGTGGTGGACTTATGATCATGGCGATCACCATCCCAATCAGCATCACTATATGCACGTAACTCAAGAGAAGACGTTGAGGGAAACAAGAGGGTCTGAAACTGAGTGCCACGAAGATATCTCAGAATACGGAGAACATCTCCCCAATGAACATAGGTAGGGGCAGTAACAAACTGACTGACAACATGAACAGCATGGACAACATCTGGACGAGTAATTGTGATATAGACCAAACTTCCCACAACAGTGCGATAAAGGTTCGGATCGGGCAAAAGAACACCATAAGTAGGAGAGTACCGTGCATTGGTTTCAAGGGGAGTATCAACAGTCCGATTGTCAGAGAGGCCCGCCCGTGTAAACAAGTCAGATATATATTTAGTCTGAGAAAGAAGATACCCTTTCTTAGACTGAGCTACCTCAATACCCAAGAAATAACGCAGCAAGCCCAAATCCTTCATAGCAAATCGATGAGCTAGATCATGCTTCAAAGACTCAATACCACCGTGGTCATCACCTATAATAATCATGTCATCCACATATAAGAATAGAAGAATTCGTCCTGCACTCGAGCATCTAACAAACAAAGCAGAATCGTGATTACTCTGGACAAATCCAAGAGAGGTAATCACTGTGGAGAATTTTTTCAAACCAAGCACGAGGGGCTTGCTTGAGACCATACAAAGCTTTGCGAAGCCGACAAACCTCACCCGGCCGGTGCTGAATTCCTGGGGGAGGAGTCATATAAACCTCTTCATGGAGATCACCATTCAAAAAAGCATTTTTGACATGCATTTGAAAAATCTTCCACTGTCGAACGGATGCAACTGCAATCATAGTACGGACTGTCGTCATCTTTGCAAGTAGGGCAAATGTCTCCTCATAGTCAAAACCATACTGTTGAGAATACCCTTTTGCTACAAGCCTGGCCTTGTACCGGTCAACAGACCCATCAACTTTTGTTTTTATCTTGTACACCCAACGACAACCTATCGTATGTTTCCCAGGAGGAAGAGAAACCAAATCCCATGTATGAGTCTGATGAAGAGCAGTGAGTTCCTCAGCCATAGCATTCTGCCAAAGAGGATCTAAAACAACTTCTCTATATGATTCAGGTTCAGAAAGATAATGGATGCTCGCTATAAATGAAGCAAATGGTCCTGAATATGTAGAGTAAGTAAAATCTGGAAGCTTGGTGGACTTAACAGGACGAGTAGATCTCCTGAGGGGTGGTGGTGGAGGTGGATCTTCAATTTCAGCAATCGGAGGAGCAGGCTCAGGACAGCGGGAGTTGAGGAACTCTCTAAAGAGGTGGGTATATCATGAGCTGAAGGATCAGGTGGCGTAGATGGATCTCGAGTCTCTATCTCTTCATTAAAATGATCAATATGCAGAAGATCGGACTTCGTTACATTGTGGGCTGTTGCAGGAATTGAGTACAAAGGAATATGTTCCAAAAAAGTGACATGTCGGGAAACATATAACTTCTGACTCACAGGATCATAGCAACGGTATCCTTTCTGTCCAATACCATACCCCAAAAAATACACAAATAGCAGATTTCGGCCCCAACTTGTTCCTCTCAACATGAGGACGAAGAATAAAACAAGTACATCCAAAAACTCGTAAGGAAGAATAGTCTGGTAGATGACCATATAACTTCTCAAAAGGAGACATTCCTGAATTCAATGAAGTAGGGATATGATTAATCACATACACAACAGTTAGGACTGCTTCTCCCCAAAAGGCACTAGGGACTTGCGCAGACAAGAGCAATGAACGAGCAGTCTCAACAATATGACGATGTTTTCGTTCTGCCACACCGTTTTGCTGAGGTGTGTCAGTACACGAGGACTGGTGTATGGTACCATCAGAAGCAAGTAACTGAGTAAAATCATTAGAGGTATATTCACCCCCTAAGTCACACCTGAAGCACTTAATCACAACCGAATGTTGAGTTTTAACAAGAGCTCTAAAATTACTGTAAATATCAAAGAAATCAGATCTGCATTTCTTAAGATCAACCCATGTATATCGAGTATAATCATATATAAAAGATACATAATAGGTTGACCCACCCTTTGTGGATACTGGTGCAGGACCTCATACATCAGAATGAATAATGTGAAAAGGAGCAGTAGAACAATACATACTTTTATTGAAAGGTAAAGCAGAGAATTTTGCCAGTTTACAACCACTGCAATCAGAAATATCACAAGTGTCTAAATGGCCCAAAACACCACTAGATGCTAAAAAACTCAAACGTGATACAGACACATGTCCCAAACGAGAATGCTGAAGATAAAACTCAGACGATAAAGGACTCAAACGGAAAGAAGATAAACTAATGTTGGAGGCAGCAACAGCAGACACTTTGAGAACCTCCAAGACATACAGTTCCCCCACCCTACGGCCGATTCCAATCACCTTCTGGGTGTGTTGATCATGTATAACACAGACGAAATCAGAAAAGAACACCCAGTTACCAGACTTACATAACTGACTGACTGAGGCAAGATTCAAAGTAAGTTTGGGAATGTAATAAACATCAGGGAGAGTGATATGAGGAATAGAGACATACCCAACACCCTCAACTAGCATAGATGTATCACTAGCAGACTTAATAGAAATAGATGACACTTACGACAAAGAAGTAAATGATGAAAAATGAGGGGTCATATGATGGGTTGCACCAGAATCTAAAATCCACAAAGATGAGGGAATACCTGATGTACCAGATGAAGTAGGACCAGAGTGAGGCATAGATGCAGACATGGCCGTAGGATTAGAAGCTAAATACTGTCTGAAGCTCTCAAACACCTTGGGATCCAATGCAGATGGGGGCATGTTTCCAACAGAATTTGTATCAACTGGTGGGATAGCAGCAGCAACAAACTGTGGAGGACGAGGGGTCCATGGAGGAGTATCAGATGAACGTGGCTGAAACTTTTGTTGACCGGATCTATTTTGTTGTCCCGACTGAGGTTGACCAGATTTACCCTTGTTAACTAACAATGGACACTGAGCTTTCCAATGATTCTTTTGTTTGCAGAATGCACACTCATCATAAGAAACCCTTGAAGT